GTTCACAAAGTTTTATTGCAATCTGATAAATAGTTTGGCAGCACATAAAATACGAATAAACAAACATTAATTTTTATATATTTAAAAAAAGATATAAACTGCTCCGCAAAGATTCCTAAGTTTAGTTTCACAAGGGGTCGCCCGACAATATACGCCGATACTGAGGTGACTAAACTTATTTTCTGTGCTATGCATTAGAAAATGCTAGTAAAAGTTATTTTGTGACGTTTATAAGGCCCACAACTGTATTCTTTGTGAGACATTAATCAGGAAGCTACATTATTTTATTGTAAAGAACGCTTAAACTTATCGTTTCAACTTACATATTATCATTTAATAATAGAACGCAAACAGTTATTATCAATCACAGTAGTTCTTCCGGGTCGATAGTATCTATGGGTGTTCTTCAGAGCCCAATTACTGGTCCCTTCTTGTTCGTAGTTAATATTCATGGCCTACCTTAACTAACAGATGATAACCACTGATTTTTACGTGTAAGAGTAACTTACCTTCAGGTAAACAGTGTGCTCGTGAAGCACTTTTTTTTAATAAAGAACCACACCATGTTGTAAGAAAATAATTAAAAAGTTCCTAATATTATTTAGCATAAAATATGGAACAGCTCCATCTATGTAACAACAAGAAAACTAAAACGAACCTAAATTATCGTAGTGTTTTATGATGAAGATATAAATAATTACAAGTTCTAACGACGTTTGACAGATGGCAGTATACATAAATGTGTTGTTACATTTTTGCTTTCTTAAAAAAAGCTTGTACCTATGAAAAATAATAAAGGTGCAGCCTATTTACGTCCCACAGCTGGGTATAGGCCTGCTATCATTTCTAAAAGAGCTTGTTATAGTAGTAGTCTAGTGTAGGTAGTGTCTACATCCGATCTTCAAAACGTGTTAGCAGAATTAACAACATAATAGGTACTTATTTGCCTTTTTTTCTCCTCAGACCTACAGGCCTCCGCATATTACGATGGTTTTAATAAATAAATGAGCATATAAAATTTTAATTAAAGATTTCTATAAGCTATTTAATTAATTTGTGTCAGCGCAGATTGATCATGGGTTGTTTTTGGCAAGCGAATTGGGAATCGGAATTCGCAACCATCTAATGCCCGGTTTCTGAAAGTCCCATTAGCTATTGATTCAATAAAGTTATCTATAAGATATACGTCGGTTAACTGACACTGCGTTTCTGAATACGAAACCAACCGTTCAATAACTATGAAACCAATAACAAGTTCCATAATTTGCCACTAGATGGGTCTGTTTCGACCCATCGAAGACGTCGAGTCTAAAATTGATTTTTTTATTTCAATTCTTCATTTATACTAATATTACTCATAAAATATTCTTTTTTGAGGCTGAATAAGTCAATATGCACTGTTTTAGCAATAAATTAAGATCATTCAATATTTATCAGTGACTGTATGATAACGACATCATTGTACTGTCAGATTGTTTAAAAAGACAACATCATACCACAGATTACTTTTTGTATAACTGAAATATACTGAATATGGAATGTAGAAGTAAGGAGTACAGACTGTGTATTAAAAAGTGTCCACAGAAAACCGTTAAATAAGGGTGGCGCCACTATTTATATAGTTATATTGAACTACGTGGTAAATTTTAAAGAACGCACCGAAAAATATTAGTGAGATAGAAAATTTTTTCGAGGTTATATTTACTAAATAAAGTATTTTAGATTTTAGAGCTACTGAGCAGTTAAACAGCACACTTAAACCGTCGACAACTGCTAAGTTCGTTTCATCCCAGTAGCTACTCCAGCGCTGTCGTGGAGAGTTTTTGAACTGTTATTTACTGCTTACAGGTGGCCACTTTTTCAACTATTTTACTATGGGAGTTGTTACTCCTTACTTCTACACTCCATAATACTGAAATAGAGACGAATCTCAAGCCCAAAAACGAGTTGTAGAATGTGCTGACGCTGGTGATATCAGATGGAACTATTAATATTTATCATATAGCTTTACTACATACGTAGTATATATAGCTACTATATCACATTCTTTATACTGAATTAGTTTCTTTACATGTTTTTAGTTTTTTTATTGTAAGATCTCATTTCATTGTACGACTTCTTACAATAAGTATTATAGATTTTCATGTAAAAATAAAATTCATTTCAGTATGTTATGTCATTTATTGAATAAAACTTCTTTTTTACATTTGTGGAAATGTTTTTTCGGCTATCGTTATAAATTATTCTTTTATCACTGAGTATTTTATTTATATCTTTTACATAATTGTATACGAAACAATTAATTGTTTAATTTTTATGTTTATTTAAATTTCAAAAATTCAAAATCTACATGAAAAAGTCAAAGTATACAGGTTTTTATTAATTCTTTTACATATTTTCTATCTAAACAATTCTTTAACCGAAAATTGTGGCTTGTTATCTTGCACTGCAGATACACACACTATAAGAGACTCAGTGGCAGAGCAAAGCCATCGTTTACCTGCATATTCACTGATTTCATTTTCTTGTAGGGCGCTAATGTTAGCAGTACATTCACTACAATTTTTAAAAACATTTTAAGCGCATCTAGCAAAGTATCCACTAACGGAATATCAACTATTTCTACATCAAGGATTGTTTCAACGTCACAGGTTGTTGCATTTATCTATGACGATAAGAGATTAAAGCCTTAAAACTATCTTTTTCACAACTTGCACCTGGGCTATGGACACTGGCCATATTATTAATTAAAAATGTAGTGTAGGCATTCTGAAACTGATCTGGTGTAGAACATTGCGGCACCCATGGCTTCTAATGGTCCTAAAAATTTTTTCAATAGGGCCTTGGTTGAGTATTTAAACAGATGGTAGGCATTTAAAGTGAAACAATACCACACTTTGTTTCCAAGGCTTTAAAAGAATTTGTATTGCATCCAGTGTCCATACCCAATTTTAATAGTTGGTACACTTAGGATAACATTGATACATTGGTACATTTTATTCACAAATTTCATATTATTTAATATTGCTTTTGCTTCATTCCACATCTTATGGTGTTTTAAGTTTGGCTTTGCTGGACCAAGAAGAGGCTTTCCATTTCGTTTATTTGTTTCTTTATTATAAGGTGCCATTGACAGAATATAATGCCTTGTCAAAAAAGAGAAGTATTTCAGCATTTTCCTCACATCTCCGAAGAATGGCTTTTCCTGAAAAATAAAAAGCTAATTAATCCATTATAAACACTTGTATTATCAGACCACAGCAAGTTCTTGTTACTTTTTTTATTTAATTCTTCTTTATTGGCTTGTTCATTCGTCTACTGCTGGACTTTAGCGTATCATGTTCGGCAGGCGGATTAATGATCGCAGTGCTAGACGTCAATCACCTTTGAAGCCACGTGTCCGTCCTCTATTTGGATTTTTTTACATAAACGAGATGATTATACCGCCGACTAAATAGAACTCATAACATATTTTTGACATTTCATCTCTATGACACCCACGGGACAAAATGAGGTGATAGATTGTTTTTATTAATACACATTTTTTAAAAGACTATGTACATAACTTAATGATGTCTTATATTTACACGAACACTACACATTGATTAAAGCTACTTTTACTGATTTACATAAAAGTAGTTTTACGAAATACATAACTTAATTTATAGTCAAAAATTTGGTTTGGTAGGACAAAAGTTTAGTAAAAATGACAAAAGTTTGGTATGAAACAGAATCATTTTATATTTAATGTTTTATAAAGGTTGCAGTATGCAAAGCAACCCAAATTGTTAAAAACAATTTTCAATGCTGATATAGATAATTTATATTATATGATATAGATAATTTATATTTGGTACAGATATAATATGTTATAGGAACACGTGAATAAATAACTTTTTCATAATTGCTTTAATGTCTTGTCTATAATCACTTGCAATTTTCTTTATAAGGCGTGTATTTCGATATATCCATAAGAAAGGCTACTGAAACTTATTTATTATTCTTAATTATCAATTGCCAATTTGTCTTAGAATCAATTTTTATTTACATATTCACATTTGGAAAAAATTGCGTTATTTACATTTTACCATTAATAAATATAAACCATAAATCCTCGCTAAAGAACCGCGATCCCTATTGTAACGCTTCCCCCCTCTCATAATAATAAATATGTATGATATTGAATATATATAATTATATATATATACATATATGTGACCAGGATTAACAAAATATGTTTTGATCTTTCTAAATGATCTTTCAAAAGGTTTAATAATAGGCCGCTTGTAATATTTTTGGCGTAATCATCTTACTTAGGACCCTTATTTACGTTGTGTTTGTTTACTAACTTAGGTCTTTCAAGTTTCTTTTGGAAGAATGAATATTCACTAGAGCAATTGAAAGCTGTTGGTAGTGCCTTATAAGCTAGGTGAACCCCGTTCACGAAGACAGGGCTCGAGAAAGGTTAAGAACATAAAACATTCCTATTCCACTTGCATCAGGTTTACATTATTAATTTATTATTATTTATCCCTTCCCGCTTGGAAAAGGCTCACAATATATTTATACAAAATACCCGATACAAGGGCTTCGCTCTCCTACATTTATATAAAAAATATAGGGGAGGCGTACGGCTCCACACACGCCGTGCGCGGTGAGCTCCTACCATTTTGATGCACTCCCCCCGAAGGGAACGTTAATTCGGGAACTGGACCGTAGTCCACAGCAAAATAACTGGCGAACCAGTAAAAGAGGCTTGGCCCCTTGTTAGTGCGTAAGCACAAACATCGACCGAAGTTCGCGCATGTCAATGCGTGTAAACGCCATACAGAATACGAACGAATCCAGCCACAGTGAATGTACGTCACACGGTTTAGGCAAATAGGCACTCTGGCCGTAAACCCTCCTTGAGCGCCACCACGTGCCAGACCGCCGCTCCTGCAGACGTGATATAAGTGTATGGCATCACCACCAGTTGCATGATCAGCACGGCTACTAGCCGCAGAGCGTATCATGAGTCTACCGCTCACCTCAAGGGAATGGGGTCCCACGTTGTGCGGCTTTCGGCCGCAGCCTTGAGAGTCTCCTCAGATCCTCCCGCCAGCTACCACCCGCATGTGATCGACATATATGCTCCACCAACCAATACAACGGCAGATATAGCCAAAAGGCAGTTATAAGATAAGAGTAATAATTCGCCATCAGAAAGGGTTTGTGTCACTGACGTTGAGTAAATGCATTTTCGATCATGTTTGCCTCACCCACCAACAAGTTGCCTTCAATCATTCAAAGGTGGGAACAGAGATATATTATTATGTTGTTATATAAAACATCGTGGAGGGCAGACAGTCTGCAGCCCCGTAATGAAGGGACCCGACTTGGGCAAAGCTACTTAGGTGTGAGTCAAACCAAGACGCAGAGAGCGCCATTGAGAATAGCGTCCCACCAAACAACCATCGCAGAGACGCAATGCTGCAGAACGCAACAAGCATCAATACGACTATCGTCGGGCTTACATCATCCCAAGGTCCCCCATACGTCTCAGCAGACATCACCACCCGCAAACCTCCATCGACCAGAACCACAAGAATACATCGAATCAGGCACAGCACACCCGCAGATTCATCACAAGACGCAATACCGCAAGAAGCAGTAAGCATCAATGCAACTATCATACTGTTGCATGAATAAGTCAACTAGCGCCATCTAGTGTCAGGAACGAGAGCGAGGGGAGCTTTGCAGTAAATGACATCACAAATCTTTCGACCGACAGCGCCACCCAAAGAACTAAGTTTCTGGAAAATCTACACTCGAATACTCGTTGCCTGGCGCGCATTTACTTGAATGTTCGGGACGCTTCTTTGCTAATTATATAAATAGGCGCTGCAAGATGCGATCGGAGTAGAGTTGAACTCGGCGACACAAGCGAAGCTTCGGAGCGGAATTAAGTGAATTAGTGTGTTTAATTATTAGTGTTTTTAGTTTTAATTTGTGTAAAGTAAATTAAAGTGTTAATTTAGGTAATTTTATCGGCAATTTTTATTGTCACGAACCTCAAGCTCGTAACAATTGGTGTCAGAAGTGGGATAAAATCATGCCGATTTTACCTAAGGAGGAAACGGAGGGTGTCCGTACCCGAAGTCAACGCCAGCAGGAGACGGACCAAAGAAGATTTGGTGGTGCAACGTCGCAGACTTCGGAGGGACAGCCGCCGGCTGCAGGCCCGTCAGTAGCTCCTACATCTGCATCACCTAACTTAGGTGCTCTGATGGTGATGCTGCAGGAGCAGGCTCGCCGACAGGAGGAACAGGTCCGTCGGTTGGAAGAGCAGCTGCGGGACGGACAGGATGAGCAGGCGCGCCGACTGGAGGAACAGGCCCGTCGGTCGGAAGAGCAAATGCTCCTCATTAAGGACCTTCATGCTACCTTTGGGAAAGAGATAAAGGAGGTGAAGGATAGGGTTGCTCAACATGACAACCGCCTGTCGGAAGCTGAAACCCAAATCAAGGAAGCTAAAACCCAAATCGACCAAGTGAACAATCGGGTTGATTACGTGGTGGCTGACGTGAAGAAAACGCTGGACGACCTCAAACTGGGTGATGGAACTACAGCTCCCGTAGTAGCTACTACACCTTCGCTACGTGGGTTCAAAGTGCCACCGTTCGACGGGACTTCTTCCTGGTCAGCCTACAAAATCCAGTTCGAGGCCGTCATGGAGGCAAACGGCTGGAATAAAAGCCAGGCCGTGACTGCACTCACCTTAGGCCTGCGCGACCAAGCCTTAACCGTGTTGGAAGCTCTCGGTAAGAAAGTGACCTACGAGCAGCTCCTTGAGGCATTGGAGGCGAGATATGGCGACGTTCACCTGGAACACGTCTTTCGCGCGCAGCTTAAAGATCGCGTGCAGCGCAGCAACGAAAAGCTGCAGCAGTGGGCTCTAGAGGTGGAGAAGCTGGTGCGAAAAGCATACCGGTCTGTACCTGCGCTCATTGAAGGGAACCTGGTGCAGACATTCATCGACGGCATCCGTGACCTGGAAGTCAGAGCTGCTGTGAGGCTCGGGCACCACGAGACGCTTAAGGACGCCTTGGCCCATGCACTGGAGGTAGAAGCCGTGCGGCAGGATCATCGTTCCCATCGCGTCAGGGAGGTTGCAGCAGCTACAGTCCGTGACCGCAGCAAAGGATACAGCCCTAGGTGCTATGGCTGTGGGGAAAAGGGCCATCTTCGATCCAGCTGCCCTAAACGAACCGTGGAAAGGAGAGTTGATCGATCTCGAGAGGGTAGTGCAGCTAACGACACTGCCTGGCGGCGACAGGATCATCGTTCACCTCACGCTAGGGAGGTTACAGCAGTTACGGTTCGCGACCACAATAAAAGATACAGCCCTAGGTGCTATGGCTGTGGGGTAAGGGGCCATCTTCGGTCCAGCTGCCCTAAGCACACCCTAGGAAGGGAAGGTGAACGGTCTCAGAAAGGAAGTGCGGCTAACAGCACCGCCCAGCAGCAGCAGGAATACGACTTTACTATCAGACACTGCAGCGGGAAATCTCACGGCAACGCAGATGCATTGAC